CAACTCTGCACACTTGTCCAAGATTTGAACCACCACAATAATGAATGAGCTGCATGATATCATGTTCGTTCACGTCGTACATTGATGTTTTTGAATAAAAATACAACTTTTCGGAATAATGGGTATACAAAAGCTAAGGTTAAAAATTGGCAAAACCGAATGTCTCCACCTTTATGGAATAGAGGAAGTATTTTTTATGCTCCTTGTTAAAGTGCAGAAGTCGACGGGTAAGGTACAGTAATGTGATGCAATGTACTTACTACCAGTAGCGTTATTATGTTTCTCGAGTTTGTACGAATTGCTACAGTGAACGAAATTCAGGAAGAAATCTTGTATTACTGCCGTATACACCCCGCTTCAGTACCTATGATAACGGGTATCTCCGACAATATATGGGCGTGAACCTAGTTGCCTCTAATTGGACAGAAATACCCAACCACCATGCGTTAAATCATTTCATCCAATTACATATAAGTCATATTATGGATTTAGACCAATGCACATGCCTGAATAGTTTTCAAGCTGCCGCCGGAGCTGTACCGGTTTGATCAGATTTCACTGATATTTTCATAGGTACTGACAGTGAAGCGGGGTAACGAAAAAAACCAGTTTAAGATAACTTAACCAATTTGGTATAACTTTGTATTCCCAATCACACCTCGTTATTTGTTCAAGTCAAAACCTCTATCAAATAATGCTGACCATGTGAATGAAAAGCCAAAACGGCGTAGAAGCCGTTCGTAATAGTCATTCAAGATTGGGTTTGAAGTACCCTAGTCGACAAGGGCCACATTGGGTTGGATCTGAGGTTGTGTCGAGTGTTAAACTCGGTGGACATACTTCCACAACAGAAATATAACTCTATGAAACAATACCCTTATATACATTATATGAAACCTGTTGTAACCGCTTACCCTAAACACAGAATTTCAATGCTCCAACATATACATACTTAAAGATAATTGGTTATCAAAATTCGAGTACAAATACTTACCAGTAGAAAGTAACAAATTTACCTGTGAAGTTCATCGTCTAATATGAAGTGAAAGAGCCGCGTCTTGTCTTTTGGAATCACTACTCAAAACTCAAATATCATAACGGACTCAAAAGTTATCATAACGTTAACGCTAAATTGGTTTTTTACGTAGTACTATACGTATACTAGTAGTACTACTCTACGGTACACTAGACGCCGTGACGAACGTAACCACTGTGCACACCATTGCGCCGCCGCCACCAGCAGCCGAACGAAATGGCTACCACCAACACTGCAGCAGCTCCAAATGTAATGCCGAAGATCGCCTCAGGTGGGAGTGCTGCACAACAGCACCGCAAGCAGTGAGTCCTTATCCATCAAATCATATACCACCAACGTACCAAGTTGACTCGAAGGCTGGGTAGGCGGAGGGGACGGTGGGGGCACGATGGCGCTGCTCGGGGGAATGAAGACCGGCGGCGGTGATTGTGTCTGCACCTCAACTGCTTCATGCACGGACAGAACTTGCAGTTGAGTCGCGTCAAATAGAACGTTGAAGTCGACTAGCGCAGCCCCCAGGTGTGTGGAGCCGGTGACGCCAACCATGGCCTCGAGCGCGTTTAATGTGGCATTCATGGCTTCAGGGGACGGACAACTCACGATGACATACACTTGCGACAGGTCATCTGCGGTGGCTGTGATGGTAGATAACGTCACATGATCCAATGTGACGTCTGTCACATTTATAATTTGGGCAACGGCGTCGGCCATTTCAAAGGCGGCCCCCGCGATTTCATTTTGATTAATGGCCTCGATTTCCAATGTCATCATGACGGTATAGCTCATCCTTGGTCGTGAATCAATATCGTCAGGAGTTGGCTCGTGCACCGTGGGATAGGGGGAAGGCTCACAGGAGAGTGCGCAGCGGGTATCGGTCCGGTTGAACGACGCGGCGCAAGACTCGTACACTGAAGCGATGGACTCGACGCCGCAGTCGGGCGAAGCACATCCAAGCAAGCCAGGGTAGCATAAGCACCCGTCACCACCAAAGAAGTCGAGACACTGGGGGTACGCAGGGCGGCAGTGCTTCTCCAGACATGGGGGCCAGTATTCGGAAAACGGAGTGACGTAAAACCGTCGACGAGTGTGGTTGCGACCTGAGCTGTGGATGTAGTCTGGGCGGGGAGCCAAAGTCAGTCGAAATGTAAAGTTCCTCGCGTCAAGTAGGGACTCTGTCGAATGCGCTGTACTAGTAGCTGAGATTGCGCTCCAAGTGAGTAGAATGACTACAGCCGCCATCACCCTGTGTCAGGCGCCAGCTCGATTTGTGTAACCGTTGCCCGACGTTACTTTATTCTCGTTTACCCTTAATAGTGTAAACTAACAGTGAATGGTATTTAAGGTTAAAGACACGTCTTTATTGTAATTTGTGATATTTTTTGGGCGCTATTCGTTTAAAAGCAGAGGCATGTCGCGACCTTTCAACGCAAGATACACTACGAAGAGTGACCGGCCGAAACAGTGGCTGCCGACGCCTCGTCTTGACCCGCGGATGATTTTTTGCGGCATCGCATGCACAGACAGACAATGATGAGCGCCAGAAGCGCCGTCCCAGCTGCCGCCAGGACCAACAATATTCCTGGCGTTAGCCCCAAGATAGTTTGGTCGTTGGCGTTGTTGTTTGTCGGCTTGTGGAGCGCCGGAGGTGTCGTTGCGTTGATGTTGTTGCTCCAGTTTCCGTTTGTCCCTGTGGCAATGACTTGAATCTTAACGCTATGCGTGTTGAACTCGGTAGTGTGTCGAATGACGTCCGCTTCCACAAGTTTTCCGCCGAAATCATTTCCATCGCCACGGTCGTCGCTGCTGTTGATAGTATCCAATAGCAGCGATTCCAACGCTCGATCTGTGGCGTTGAGCGCTGCTAGCGACTCGACATGTACCACCGCACTCACTTCTTGCAATGTTGGTGACTTGGACACGAGGTGCAGCGTGACGTTAGCCGCACTCAACGTGGACGTGTAGCTCGTTTGTAAAAACTCAACCAGTGTGTCGACAAAGGCACTTGACGAGTTCTTCAGGTCGATCGCTGTCGTGTTAGTCAACGACCACGTGGCGAGAACTGTCCATGTGACCGACACCGGTTCGCGAATCGTTTCGTCGTCGCCATTGTCCACAAAGGAGTGGTTAGAAGACGAAGGACTCGTCGCATTGGTCTCGCTGGGGAGGACAGCGGCAATGTCAACCGGAAAGTAGCCCGGATAACATTGCAGAGCACATCGGCCATCGACTTGCAGCGAATCGTAGCACATGTCCAACACGGAGGCGTACTCGTCGTTGTTGGTAGTGCAAGCGTTGATGGCACAGCCCAAAAGCCCGGGATAGCACGAGCACCCGTCGCCATAAAACAGTTTAACGCATCGATTGTAATCGGTAGCACAGTGGGTTTGCGCGCAGGGATGCGTCTCCCAGCTTGGATTTGGGAAACCGATGGCAGGTCGAGGAATTGTAGGGTACTCTCGACGCAAAGGAGTTGGTGGAGAACTCATCGTGCTAACAGGGGTCGATGGAAGATTTGTGGGAGGGGTATTTGGCGTTGGGGGAAATGCAGTAGTAGCAGGGGTGCGAGGCGTAAGTGGGGGTGCTGAAGGGGGTCGTAGTTGGCTGCTGGTAGGCGGAGGTGGTGGCGACCCCGTCACCATGGTCACCATAGCGAGCAGCAGTACCCAAACAGTTTTCATCGTTGTCGAAAGTGACTGTGGAAGCTGCCAATGTTCGCATGTTGGTCTCGAGTGGTCGCAGACGAGGAATTTCGAACGTTCGACAAAAGTAACTGCTGCAGTTACAAACTCATGTACGGACAGGTACAAACAAGCCATCCTCTGTTGAGCTAACGAACAATCCACGCAAAACCAAGATAAAAAATGGGATGGTGTATCATGTATAGTGATCGTGGTTGCTATAATTCAACGGGGGCTCGACTTTGCAATAGTGAGAAATGTGAAACGGGTGGCCATCGACGTCTTGTCCAGGAGGGGGATAGCTCCGATTGGAGTCGGGGGATGTCGTAGGCTCGGAACATTCCGGCTTGACCGCATCCATGTCTAGAAAGCAACCTAAGTACTCATGCACCAAGGTTGGGTCTTTCCAATGCGCCGGGCGTTGGTCCATATGCAGCGGTAGCGGCGCCATCTCGTCGTCATCGTAGCACTCTGACTTGGCCATATACGTGCTCGCAATGGATGGCCCTGGCGTGACTATTCCTTGGGGTGCTGCGAGTGGACTGCAAGGCGATCGCAGCCGCTGGCTTGACGTGCCAGCGTCACAAAGATGACACCCGCCAGCGATCAACTTGCACGGGAGTTGTGGAATGTAATGGGCCAAGCACCGCTCGACATCGGCAGCGTGCTGTGCTAAAGCGTCATCATAGCGCATGCCTCCGTACTGCTTACTCACTTCGAGTCGCACAGCGTACTCTTGCTCCTCGACCTTCTTGGCCAAATGCCATTCGTCGCGGCCACATGCACAATGATGACCATTTGTGGTCTTGGTTCGATATACACTGGTAGCACCAGGGTGCGCTTGGGTAGGGGGAGGGGTGCCGCATGGTGGCGAGCTCGATGCCTGCGGCGACGGTGACAAGGTCGCCAGAGCGCATTCACACAGGACATATGTGGCTTTGGACCGATAGCTTCCGAGTAACGTGGACTTGAAGCGAGGAAACCAAAACTTGCGATCCCTTGTCTTCTCAGGCCCGTCGCCAGCGTTGTTGGAGCGAAATCGCGGTCCTAGCTGGTGCAACACCCACCCCACAGCCATTAAGAGTATTATTTGTGAATGACATGTTGGCTCTTGAGTTGGTGGGTTCACGCAGGAGGCGCGTCGGCAGTAACGTTACATACTCGTGTAGGCAGGGACATGTGGTGTGAGGTTTGGTGGTCGGGCTCATTTTGCCGTATTTCGCCGTAAGCCTTTTAAGTATATATAGCCAATTATAGTCATGCAAACGATATACTCCCATTGGCATTGGCTGAAATATTCATCGATGGGCATATGTGATTGGTGGAATATCTATATTTCCACACATGCATGCATCAATACTAGTACACACATATCACAACCAAACATACGCTCCCAAGGTAGTGATTAGAACAGTTGGAAATGTCAGAACTTCTTGATTAATCTATCACATGCCAGCCACTACACTACATACCTTGCTTACAGAGAGCCCTGTCGCCCCCACGAGCTGTATCTTCGGATTACACCCCGTTAACGATTTGCTCCTTACTCCACAGTACACTGTACATAGCCTTCATGTCAACTTGTACGATGCAGGTATGATCAGATGTTGAAGTCGGCGAATCCAATGCATAATTCCCCCACTGCAGGTACCGGTATACATTACCTTCAAAACACCCAAACTATACCTTTAGTGGGGGAATTCCTTCGATAAGACCCCGGGCACACATACCAAAAAATACTCCGAGTACCCTGTAACCTGGGACTTCATCCTACCCCCGGTGGGCACGGATATTTCGAAGTATAATGTTATTCCCGGCGTTAAGCGCGTCACAGCGTTTTGCTATCGCTAACCACTGAGATGCCTTAACCCTTCGCTGACATGCGTTCTGGTGTTACTGTTGGTAAACGGTGTACTATTATTTTAACTAGTACTCGCTATACCTGAGCTCTTAAGTGCGAACGAAGTCGCATCTAAGCGGCTCCGCATCATTGAGTGGACTGACTGTGGTGGCGGGCATCCTTGGAGGCACGGGTGGCCGTCATTCCGCGAGCAATCGTCGTCGGGGCATCTTGGTCTTGGGCCACTGGGGACAGGCGACCTGAACCTGGTGCTACTGCATCGTTAGAAATCCCATCACTTACAGTTACTAGTATTCTTATTTGTGCAACAATTCCTCAGTTCAGTCGTCCTGATTGGCTGTTGCAAGGCATCTCAGATTTAAAGGTAAGTTTTCTAGTTTGGGTGTTTTGAAGGTTGTATACCTGCTGTCGGGGAGTTAGTCCCAATGCATGCATGCAGAGGGCTCCATGTACCTGTACTGTAGTATTCACTACAACTTGGCTATAGTTGGTTGAACGTGCCTAGAAACAGATACAGTAAACAGCACAGGCACAAACAGATCACAGGTGCTTCAAAGGCCTGTACTACCCGTAATACTGTACGTCAAACTGCGATTTCCTGTGACGTGGGATGGATGAGTACTGTACAATGTCAAGGCTGCGGCGCCCGCTTCATATACTGTACATGAACCTTTGACCACACCCATGTGCGTGTGAACACGTCCGGCTCGGTGCTGCTGGGCAGTCCCTTTGAGGACTTGGAGGAATATTCCATTCGTGGCACCAGAGATGTGGGCCGAAGTCAACGCGCTGCAGTGGGTACGTCCCAATGAGCAATACATTTGCTCCGGAGTATCACAAGATGAATATTTCTACATACTGTACTACTTGGTATACAAGTGTGATGTGTGTACAGCTGTACCGTTATATAGGTATGGTATTTATTGTGATGGAGACATTTATGTGACGTGAAATTGTATAGTAGTACTTTGAAGTATACCGGTATAGTATAATTCCCTCATTAACACCGTTCCACTGTTGTTTTGACCAGAAATACTGTTTCACTGTGAATGAGGGAAATATTACATCCGGATATTGTGCTTTTCACTGAACTTTGGACTTCGCAGTCGAAACTTCAAAGCGATTTCGAATGTATTTTCCATGTTTTCCCCGACTGATTTTACCCAATCCGAAGCGACAGGGCACGAGACTGGTAAAATCTCTGGAATGGAGTGATGTGATTGGCTTAAGACATTCATAATCTCTTTGTTTAGGCTATTCAATTCGCCTCCCCAGTCCAATTTAGTGTTGAATACACAATACACCTTTTCGCCAGTGGCCCTGTAACCTGGGACTCCGTCCTACCCCTGATGAGTACATACGATGCTTAATCTCCAGGGTTAACTGCATCGCTAGTGGTTAGCTGTCGCTAACCACTGAGATGCACTTAACCCCTAGTAAGAGGTGAGGTGGTCTGAGCATACAAAGTTCCATATAAACCACTTTGAAACAGTATTTCGGGTCAAAACAACAGTGGAAATGAGGGAATTGTACAAGTATATATATATACCAGCTGGTATCATGTATGAGAGATTTGTATGGAATCTGTTTCGATACTGTATGTATCTACAAATATATACTACTATTAATATTAATAGTACTGTACTGTACGCGTTTGCAATGTGTACTGTATAAGTTACTCGGAGTATATAAGTATATCGTGATATATATTTATATATATCATCGTAGAGATTTTTATGGGACCTGTTTCGCTACAGTACTCTTATGTACCATATGTATGGTATATAACCTTATTTGTCGTATTGTCGTAATGGCGTCGGATATATATACTTCGAAGTATATTCTATTCATACGGAGTAGAGATTAATCTGAGCATAGACAACGCTCAAGACGCCGTTGGTGAGGGCACGGGTGGCGTCAATACAGGACAAGTCGAATGAGAATATCGACCGAGTCGTGGAAAAGAAAGGGTTCTCGGGGGTCTTCTAGCAGTTGCTTGCACCCAAAGAAGTACATTTGAACACGGTAATAATATATATATATAATATTTATGAAAAATACGTGTTTCAAGGTGCCATGGGTGGAGGGTCAACGCAAGCAAGCAACTGATGGGTGACCGCTGACACGTTGCAACTAGGACGGAGGACGCTCAAGCTAAGGTCAGCTACGGCAATGAAAGCGTTCACTGTCAATAACCCTCAATAACAAGGAAGCGAAAACAGTGGTACCATTTTTAAATCAAGAAAGATATGAATTCATATCATTGATAGAAATCATACTAACGTTATAGGAGCACTTCGAAGTTGTAGTTCACACTACTATACGGTTATTGTGAATTTCACCCAAATTTGGACTTGAGAGTCATTTCGCCAAATAGCATTCGAATCTATTTGATCCTATTTAAACTTGTACACACTATACTATACAACGATTAGTATATTATGTGTTTGCCCAATGTGCAGGGGTCAAACGTTTGGATTGGCAGAAATTCGACATGACATGATTTAATTGGCTCAGGCGGTTCTTTAATCGATTGTGTGAAGACATATTCGATTCTGCAGAGGGCTCCAGTTTCGAATCGATTTGACAATATTAGTTGCTAGTAATACTTCATTGGAGACCCCTTCTCGATGCTACAATACCTCTAGGTAGTGAGACAATAGGCTCCATCGATGTGTTTGAAAGCTCAGAAACACTCGAGCATGTACCTTGAGTTCTTGGACCCTCAATGCCCCTAGTTGCATCATGCGTCTTGTCCTTGGTGACATGCTGACACACATGGAAATACTCCGAAAATTCCAAACTGCGTTGTTGCCGTGGATCTGCGCGACGATGCATTTTGTGTGTCGTTTGCACCTTCATGCCATAGCAACACTGGTGTATTTTGCCTACTGGACCCAACAACGCATTGTCAAAAAATATGAGATGGAACGGAAACTACATCCAAGGACCGACAGTAGTGTCCGATATTTGTTCAACAGCGAAGTAAGATGCATCCCTTCATGTCGTCGGGGCTGACTCAGCCCCAATCGTGCACCAACTGGGATTGCCAATCGATTTTCCGAAACCCCCCCCCGAGTTCTTTGACTTGGTGTTTGTATCGCACTCTATTTTTAGATTTTGGCACTGCACTCTATTTTTAGATTTGGGGGTGCACTCACTTCATTATTGATTGCTACCTTCCAGCACCCAACATGCATTGGCTGCATCACGTCAAGGCCACCGCGATGGACTTCGTCAGCGAGCTCAAGCTCAGTGCCACCTACGACCTCATCAATCAACTTCAAAGGTGAGATTTTCTACACATGACCCTCTCTACTCACGATCCCACCGTCACGTCTCACATCCGTTATCCACAACAGAAGCATCGACTCCTCCGCGCACTTGAGCAAGTGCGGTCCTCGAACTCTTGGAAACTCCAACTCCAAGGGTTGGCCGACGTGCAGTGACACTGTAGAAAACAGCGCCTACGGCGTCAACGCCATTCCGAACGTTACCTCTTGCTTCGTAGCCGTAAGTCGTCGTCGTAACGGTTTCCTTTGGCTTCGCGACGAGTATTCATGTTTGATGTCTACCTGTATCACCCCGAATGCTTCTGACCGCTCGGAAGTCACCACTGCGGTTCTGGGTGATCATAGTGATGGCTATGACCAAGATGACGTTGCCTTTGCCCACACAAAAGGTGTCCTTGACGACGGGGGTGTGCTGTGTGCCAGCACCAGCGAATGAGACGAGGACTTTCTAGCGAAATGCCCCAAACGACCTCGGTGCACGGCCGACCACACAACCATCGTTGGCAACAAGTACACGTACTTGTTGCCCGTGCCCTTCTTTGACGTGGACGTACGTCACTGGCGACGTCAACGACTGGCGCACTTTCTGCCCACCGTTGCCAAAAAAATCGGATCCTCTGCAGGCAAGAAGGCCGACAACAAGCCGGACTTTTGGGGCGACGTGTTCAACCCGTCGAGTTGGCCACGCATTTCCCCCCGACGACCCCGCCCCCATCCAACTAACCATAACGTTAATATTGACGTAATGCACTGTTGTTCAGTTGCGATATATGTGTGGTGCTCAATATTTAGAGTTTCTACCAAGGTAGTCCGCAAGTCGTTGTGCTTGACATGGGATGCGGTGGAGTATACTAAGTAAGTCGATTAGGGGGTGATAAAGTTTCACATCGATAGAGTCTCCACAGGCATTACGTTGGACCGTTTTCGATTCTTTCACACGGTCACGTTTGGGAAACATGTTCTGCCCACCAAATCATCACCTGTCCAACTTTGCGACCACTTCTCCAGTATCCTTTATTTCATCAACGACTGCCTTGTCCAGAAAATGAACGGGCAGATACAGTACATAGCCATACGATTTAACCGTGCCGGTCGACGTGGTTATGCTGGTAACGTTAAGGTAACAGCCATGATCTGAATCGGGGGGCGAATTCATGCAACGTCGTTTCAAACAAGCCCGTGCGTTGGATGGCCTTGTCTTGGTTGCATGCTACGACGATGAATGTTATGGTTGTGGCATCCTTACTGATATAACGTCAGTATAGCTACGGACACTCTTTCAGTATTGCCCCCCTCGTTAAAACCAAATATACTTGTACAAGTCGACCGGGGGAACTTCTGGCATGAGCCCCCGCCTTGAATTGGCTCCTGAGTTCGACATTGCCGGTTCTTTACCCTGGTTTCACCTGGCTAAGTGAGGGCTAACCATGGTCTCTTTGGCGGTCGTGGCTTTCCCCCGTGGCGCGCGTGGTAATATGGTTTTCAAAGGACTTGTAATTGCAATTGTTCGATCATACTAATTTGGAGGACAAATAATAGAAAAACATTGATTTTTTGTTTTAAATTGGACCGGCGGCAATTCTGAAAGAGTGCCTAGCTACTAGAGTTCATATGCGTCGTAACCTAGCAACAACTGAAAGAAAGAAGATGTACTTGATCGTATAGATCAATTGATTTTAGTCGCTACGATTGTTGTGGTGCTACCGGTAGACGGACAAAAGTAACGTTAACGTTATATGTGGTTGGTGACGGTGCAGCCAAAATTGACAGGCTCAAACAGCACACTCGTCCGGAAGTTATCTGGATTCAAGGATGTGACAATCTTGCACTATCCGGCTTATCCGGATAACACGCGATGTCAAAAAAACAGCGCATATCGAAGTGCGCCGACGATGCTGCTCCAGCACGTGCGTCGGCAGTCCACTTCCTCGCGGGTGCTCATCGCCGGCGGCGGACCAGTTGGTCTCACGCTTGGCATTCTCCTGCAGCATGTGTACAATGTGCCTGTGGACATTGTTGAGCGGCAAATGCAGCCAACGCAGCATCCGCAGGCGCACTTTATGAACGTCCGCACGATGGAAATCCTGCGCACCCACATGCCAGTCCTGCACGACCGCATTCTGGACGCCACCGCTCCGCCGCAACAAGTACATCAATCGTCTTGTGTCTCGCTCCATGTGGTGATGGCGCTTGATCTCATGGATGGCATGCGTTTTCGTGTTAGTGGCGCGACTACGTCTACTGCTCCCGCGTGATCCATGGCGAACTCGCCCGCATCGATCAATTCGGACCAGGTTTGAGTCATATTGTCTTTCTTTATCCCAATCTGGAGACGTGTGTGCTGTTTCGGCAAATAATCTTTCGAAAATCGACATTGTTTGTGGAGGATTTTGGATGTACCAGTTGTCCTGTGGTGTTTGCAATCACACGAATGTTGAAGTCATACACTAATTACATTTTGATAGTAGTGTCCTGCAATTGGATATGGCTACGTACTTCTGCCGATGATCCTTCTACTATATGTATTTCGATGTATATTCTCCATGTCGCTCATGCTTAGAATAATTCACACAACAATAGTATTGTCAAATATCGATTCGAAACTCGAGCCCTCACCAGAATCGAATATGTCTTGCGAGATTAAAGAACCGCCTGAGCCAATCAAATCACGTCACGTCGAATTTCTACCAATCCAAACGTTTGACCCATACGCATTGGGCAAAACCAATACAATATCTATACTAATCTTTGTATCTTCAGATTAAATGATAGATCAAATCGATTCCAAGTCTATTTGGCGAAATGACTCTCTAAAGCCAAATTTGGGCCAAATTCACAATATCATGGCGTGTATATATATAGTTAGTTATCTTGTGAGTTTCCATGTAGACATTGCGCACCACCGCGACGCGTCTGCTTCGGGCTATCGCAACGAACTGCTCCACGGACTTCAGTCGTTGTCGTCGACCCAACCTGTGCATTTCCCGCAGCACAAGTTTGAGACGCTCTTAAATGAGTACGCTGCCGAGTGTGGCGTCCACGTCCGTCGCGGCGATGAGCTAACCGACCTAAGAGTGTCCACTGGGCGGCACGCCGTCGATGTCACCCTGCGCAACGAGTGTGTAACCTGTCGTAATCACCACCACGAGCCTTTGATGTTCAAGTATTGTGGGTAGAAAACGGCAGTATGAGTACGTTGTGGGGGCCGACGGAGCCCACAGCAAGGTCCGATCCTTGCTGCAGATCCCGATGGAAGGGCCCCCGCCGCTGCAAAGTTTGGTGAACGTGCACTTTACAAGCCACGAGGTCTTGGCTTTCTTTTACCTAAAATGTGGTTGACTTTTATGCAGATTATTCGCCTAATCTATCGTTCGATTATTCTTTGTATTGACTTTTGTATGTAAACATCGTCCAGTAACGTCACACTCATTGCAGTCACACACTAATTCGATGTTGCATTGGTCGACGAGTGGATTTGCTTCGTGATGTGGGGTTTGATTGGTCAATTTTCGATTGTCTGTCGATTTCGTGCTGCTCATTGAGCACCCGATTCCAATGTCGAATCGACTTGACAATAAATTCGGGTCCAACTCACTACGGTATTGTAATTTATATTTGAATATTGAAGTCGAATCCATTTGTATACTTGATTTGACGATTACATGATATTATATATTGTCGATTTGATACAAATTTGGGGATCGAATCGCGCCGACCGAACCGATCCGCAATCGATCTGATTGGTTGTTGAATTTCATTGAGAAGGTTTTGATTGGCCCATCTGAGGTAGCCAATCAAATCGATTTAAATTCCAACGAGAAACCACAACACAATGAAATTTCACTCGAAAGCACAATACTTTGAACACTTTTATTTCATTAGATTCCATTTGTATACTTGCTTCTTGAGAGAGTCCGCAGAATTGTATCATGCTATTTACGTTATATTTATATTGCACGGTACTGCAGATATGGTCGTCGCCACTGTGTTTTGTGTGTATGTCCCCTATTGAATCCAATTTTATAAGATTCAAGAAACGTTATATATCACAGTGCTCCTATATGTACATAACTACTATATTAGCTGGCTGCCCACGCCCGAACGTCGCCCGCCATGCTCTACTTTATCGTACGATCTTCCTTCATATTACCAACAATATCTATCATTTGACGACCGATATATCGTGGTTCCACACGTAGTTTAACCCGAGTGTGATTGGAGTGTTGATCGCCCACGACCTTGCCAACGGCGAATGGGTGTTTCAGATCCCAGTGTTCCCCTTGCATGACCAACCCCCCCAAGCGAACTTTCCCCCCGACAGATGCATCGACCTGATCCGGGCGGCGGCCGGGGCGCCCTCGTTGGACGTGGCGCTACACTCGGTCGGGGCATGGAAGATGACGGCCCAAGTGGCGGCGCAGTACGCCGACGCCAACCACCAAGTGTTTGTCGTGGGTGATGCTGCCCATCAGTTTCCCCCCGCTGGGGGCTTTGGCATGAACACTGGCATCCAGGTACGTGTATTTGCAGTCGTCGTCGTCGTCGTACTTGTTGTATATGTATGTTGAAACGTATATTGATTAGTGTTATATTGTTCAGCATGTCACCCAAATTTGGACTTGTGAGCCATTTTGCCAAAAAATAAGCATTCGAATCCATTGGATCATCCAATTTAATCTTTTACAAGGTATACTGTAAAGAGATTAGTTGGTACATTTGTGGTATTGCCCAATGCGGAATACCATAAGTTTCGATTGGAGAAATTCGACTGGATGTGATTTGATTGGCTTAGGCGGTAGTTTAATCTGTTAAGACACTCGATTCATCTGAAGGCTCCAGTTTCGAATCGAATTTTGACTGTATTACTACTAGAAAAACAACTTCCTCCGGTGGTTGGTGGAATGAACTGCCTAACGAACAATTGCTGGACCTGTGAAGTATTATATAAAACAGAGTTTCAGAGGTATAGGACAACTTGTAGCCAATCGATGAGGCAAACTGTATTCTTTTTAGCCATTCACACTGATTTGCTCGATTGAACAATCCCCCCAAATTGGCAACTTTACAAGCACACAATATCTCGTCCACATCAAGGGGATGGCGAGTGTATCTAGTTGTGATCGATATTTACCACACATGTGTGAATCTTTGACGTTTCTAACCATATGTCTTGATATATATCCCTGTAGGACGCTCACAATTTAGCGTGGAAGCTTGCCCATCACATTCACAACCCACCAAAATCTCCCATCAATTCGTCGATGTCTTGGCTGCCTACATACGGCGTCGAGCGCAAAGCCATCGCGTCCGCCATGACAAAGTTGAGTCTGCGCAACTTTGAACGGACGCTTCGAGTGCCCACCGCGCTCCACGTGTCGTACGGTTCGAACCAAAATCGAATTTATTCTTCCTTGGAGAGCTCATTTGTGTGTTGTGTTTATCTGTGTAGACAGCGCCAAGACCCTCGACACGGTGTCGCATACTCGGCTGTTCCAGTGGCTGCCGCGGGCGCTGCAGTCGTCGGTAGTGTCGACCGCGCTGGCAGCTGGCACGGCCCACTTGGCCACGCTCGACACCGCTGCCACGTCATCCATGGGCCGGCACCTCAAGAGCCGGGTACATGAGATCGTCTCATCCCGCCAAGCGCTCGGCATGCTGGTACGTACGTCGTCGCATTTCTGCTTTGACCGTTTTACCTCGACTGTGGACTGCTTGCTGTGCTGATTCGCCAAATGTATCGATCGATGCTTCGTTGTACTGAATTTTTTTTGCATGTAAAGAGGAGTGAGTTGTCCTGGGGGAATGGATTGTAAGCACACTATATTTCGGTATCACACTCTTATACCCTGATGATGGTTTCCTGCAATCTGATTGGCTCCATTCTGGTGCCGAAATTTTGTACATTTGTTTGTCGCATCATTTTCTCCAAGTCGTTTTGATCGTTTGAATTAAATATAAAATTGATTGATGATATTTTTTCTTTATGGCCGAGTGTGGATGCTGTGGATGCCACTGAAAATTCGATGTCAAATAATATTCTGACGTTCCCTTTTCAAATGGGAGGTGAGAAAATATTTTCAAAAATATAATATATGGCACCTCTGGATGCCATGATAAAATGAGGACTATTGCTGGAATATCATGTTGGTTAAAATGGACAGTTGCAGTTGGAACCTTTTACTGTCAGAAAACAGTAAAAATTCAATGTATTATGTCCATCATATATTTATGTCAGCTTTGGTAGCCATACACGCAAAAGTTGTCGCTTGAAATATTGTCCAAATATTTCTGAAAAGTTGCAAAAAGAGGTGTTTTCTGACATTTTTTGTGGTAGCCAGAGTGTCCGTAAATATTTTTATTAATATTTTTAAATAAGAAAAAGAACTCCAAACACTTTCGCCCCAGCTTAGAAAAAATACAACAATCAATGTCTCGAGGGAAAACACAACATGCAAATAAACGTTCCAGTTAACTATATATGTATATATATTATATATTATATACGCTTGCTTTGTCCCTTGAGTGATTTGTTTCGTCAAACTGACCGCTGCTGCTGCTATTGTATTGCTGTTTGGGTCTAGTTTTACAACGCCGACATTGGGTACTCGTACAACAAGAATGCATCATCCCTCGAAACGTCAGACGCTGCGCTCAACCAAGCCCACCGCTTCCATGTCCCTCCGAGTCGACCATTCGACGACTCTGTCGCAGATTCCAAAGCCCCCCCAGACTTAGTCGATGTCGTGTTTACGCCACAGCTGCACGAGGGCCACCGCCTTCCTCATCAATGGCTGTGCAAGTTACACGACGACCCAAAAACGCACCCCCCCACCAATCGCTGGTCCACACTCGACCTCCCCCAGCGGGTGCTATTGACTACCCCTAAAAACGGTGGGCCCAACTTCGTGCTCGTCGTACAGCCTGCCACGTATTCCCACCTCGCCGCAGCCGATGGCGCGTTGCCCTCGACAGTGGCCATCGTGGTGCTGTACCCCAGCAACAACATGGTCACTGCAGTCGATAAAAATCACCAAACGCTTGGCCATCACGCCTATGTGTACACGGAAGCAACCGCCGTGACGGCCACCGCCGCCATCCTCGTGCGGCCAGATGGACATGTGGCCCGAATTTGGTCGCTGGCCACCGACGTGTCGCCCGCCAGTGTCCACACTGCCATGTCCAACGGCGTCTAACCGGTTGTAGAAGTTGTCATATACTCTCTCAACATGACGAGTTTTGAATACTAGTAAATAGCAAAAAATACTCATCGACGATTTCGTCGTAATTTTAGCATAAACGTACGTGCACAAAATAACAAATACACTTGACAGTGAATACCGTCCTCCCTTTGTAATACTGGTACTAGTATATAATATCGAATCCAAAACATGGAACAAAATAAAAAGTCCTGTCAGTAAATAAACCCAACCGTACGTAGTGAGCTTTCGAGTGAAATTTCGTGTTGTGGTTTCTCGTTGGAATTTAAATCGATTTAATTGGCTACCTCAAAATCATTAGCCAATCAAAGCCTTCTCAATGAAATTTAACAACCAATCAGATCGATTGTGGATCGGTTTAGTCGGCGCGATTCGATTGCACGCCATCCCCAAATTTGTATCAAATCGACCATAACATATTGATCTATGTATCGACCTTCGTTAGGAGTACCAATCAATATACAGTACTAACGTTAAACGGCAACTTTGCTGGTGTCACCACGACCAATAACTCATTGTAAAACGCATGGTATTATAAAGCTTGCTACTTCCTGCTACTCAAAACTACAGGTGTACTGGGGACATGGTTGTGATTGACCATCACTCGCAACTGACAACTCGAGCGTGACAGAGAGGAGTGGTTGTAGGGTTTTGTAGTTTGGTTGATCTGTTGTCTAGATGGCACCCTTGTGGTTGGCTTTGGCCGGCAATTGGTTGGGCTGGCGGGTACCCACGCGCGTAGCCTTGGGGTATGCGCCCGGTTTGAGCGAAAACGTAGCCATGTTGCCCCGCAGCAGTTTATTTTTCGCAAATTCAGACCGCGCCAGGCTGTCGAGGACGTGGTGCTATCACAAGTACATTATACATATATATATATACAAATATATATATTGTCAAATCGATTTTGAAACTGGAGCCGTGAGCAGAATTGAATAAGAAAATGGATTCAAGAACCTCCAAAGCCAATCAAATCACGTTCTAGTGAATGATTTTGCCAATCCAAACACGTTTGATTCGATGCTGTCCTGCCGCATTGGGCAAAACCATATATATACTAATCTGTGTATGGTATAGCTTGTACAAGCTTAAATTGGATCAAATCGATTCGAAAGCTATTTGGCGAAATGACTCTCAAGTCTAAATTTGGGCGAAATACATAATATATACATCATCTCAAAAGGTAGTAAGTACCATGGACGTGAGGCGGCCCGACTGTTTGCGCATCTTTTTCAAGCGCAGCAAGTACCGCCGGGTACTGCCTTGCTTGTTAGTTTTGATCTTCTCCAGATCCAAGTCGTCGGTGGTGCCGGTGCCATTCGCATCGCCGTCTTGGCCTACTTCACTCAATCGACGGCGGGTGTGGTCAGCGCGTGCCTACAATGTTGTTAAGCAGGAAATCCACATATAAAACATGGGAGGAGGATTCAATATATATATATATATATATGTGATAACGTCGATTCAATTCCACATTTTTTGGCTATTCAACGACCACACAAATGATCTATCGACCAATCAAAAGCCCTCCGCACCACATGGATTAAGTGGCCCATTCAAAAGTTGGCTCTTTGTTTCCACCATATAAGGGACTTGGAATTCTTCGTGTAACTTGTTTGGTCGTGTTTTATATATTATATATATATACTCAAATTCAGTCCGAGTCGATATTCTCGAGTATTCGAAATTCGAGTGGGGGGCTCAATGAGCACCACGAAATCGCAGACAGTCGATATACGACCAATCAAATCCCACATCACGAAGCACGTAGCCAATCAAATCCACTCTTCGACCAATTTGACATTGAATTAGTGTGTGAATGAAATTAGTGTGACGTTACTGGGCGATGGTTACATACGTCAGTACAAACACTAATCGATCGATAGATTTGGCAAAGAATCAGCACAAAACTCCACATCTTGGGTAAAATAAATACAATATATCGATCATTTCGTGACACATTGTCAAATTCCAATTTGTTTTTGGCGGAACGCAATAATATTATAACAACGTCCCGTGCACACACTGTGAACACACACACAACAATATACAATTGTTGTTGTCCTACGATATATATATAGACTATATTATATATATATATTGTAATATAATAATATAATACATATTATATAATATCGATTACACAACCAAATATAAATGTACACAAGAATAATCATCAATGGCAGAGGTACGTATTTAGCCAATCAAATCACAGGAAACAACTCAAAGTATGACTTCAATTCGTGTGTGATAAAAATCCCCACAGGACAATACACTTGTTTACATACAAATCATATCAGTAGAAAATCGGTACATCGATCGATTTGGCGATTTTCAGCACAAAAGTCTACCAAATTTTGGGTAAAATCACAAAAACTAGCAAACCTTGTCTGTGTGCAACCCTTGCTGCCACATTTTTCCACACGCTTCATGGAATGTCTTGCCCGTGGCCATGACCAGCACCGTGGACGTATGGCGGTTCCATTTGTCGTTGGTATTGTACTGCTGACTCATTCCAAATGGCGGTTTACTTAGCACGCCGTGGCAGTAAAAACACTCGATAGACGCAGGCGCAATGCACTTGGCTTGGGCGCGGCGAAGTACCATCACTTGGTCGTGCAAGTCGGTGCTACAACAACCACGCACCATATGTTCATGTTATGTAGTCTACACATGGATTCTTGTCCAGATATATATATCTGGACGGTCGAGTAGTACACTTGAAACACTATATAGATGGTCGACTTTGGAAGGCGAAGAAAGAATCGAGACCAGTGTACGTTAAAATGGCCTGGCCAATCAAAAGGCATCAACGACATATGTCAACCAATCAACAATCAGTACAGGGTTTTTAACCAGGTCCTCGTTCCATGTGTATATTATATATATATATATTGAACGACCTCAACACGTGACGTAACTCGATTCTCAATGTTTAAATTGAAACGACAATATCAGATATATATATATATATATATACATTGCCAAGAGATAAACGTTGCTGTATTCATTTGTCACTTGTTGGGTTAAAGTATCAAACAAATAGAAGGCAGTTAGACTCGATTCAACTATCGGGTTGAATCGCACCGTTGAACATGGATGTATAAGACAAACATATATATTAGTATAATCATACATCCACGTTGGATATGATATTATAATATATTAGCATGATCGTTATTCAGAATCTTCGCACAAGTAGTCCGCATATACAACACAAGACCAAATACAGTCCTACCAATCCCCATCGTTCAACACATCCTAAAGTACGACAAGAGGTGGTTGAATACACTAGACTAATCTGAAAAAACATCACCATATATCGCCATCTATTCTCAAGTCGGTTCGAATTTCAAGTGGGGGGCTTGCTGTCTCTCAATCGTCGTAGGTAGGAGCTGCACCAAAAGTCGACCGACCGACAATCGATATACGACCAATCAAAACCCCCAGAATACTATTCACGTGGCCAATCAAATCCACTCTTTGACCCAACTCAACATCGACGTAGTATGTGATCCTGAAATCAGTGTGTGCGACACTGGACACACAAAAGTCTGAACAACGAATCATGATCGATAGTTTAGGCGAATCCCCAAAGCCTACCAATTTGGTAGTAAACGAACCAAATTAAAGTGGACAAAAACGCAATATATTTCGATCGACGGGATGATGAAGGTCGAGTTGTCGGCCCCCAAATATCTCGAATACTTTTAACCAAACATACCGAATCATGCCGTTGGCCGTCTTGTAAATGTTGTGCTCGTAGTTGTACGTGTCCAGCATGCCAAAGATCGTCGGTCGAAAGTCGCCAAACTCGTCTTTGCCGTGCTCGTTGGTGATTTTAAACAGAATCGACTGCAGCGATACACACGAACTCATGCGTTCGAGGATCATGGCAATCATTTCATTGACGGCAATCTACAAGTATTGATAGATATATGTATGTTATTATATATATGTGTGCGTGAAAAAGGTACGAGTGTTGAAATCAAAAAAAAAAATTAATCGGAAGTCTATATAGTTAATTTACAGCGTATATATTCGTGTGAGTCACCACACAATATGTATATATATATATCACAATCGGGTTGTTTGGTGTTGTACATATATATTTGACACTGAGGTTTCGACAACACAAGGTAAAAACAGGTAGATAAGTACTCCAACGAGGTAGAAAGAATGCTCCAATCAACAGCGATATTATTGGTGTATGCCAATAACAAGGAGAAAAACTATAAGGACCAACCGTCAGTTTACAGAACAACGCATAGCATGCATATAACTTTGTCCATCGATACGTATTTAATTAAAATAAACGGATACATATTCTAAAATGTAGGCGGAAATCCTTATCGTGTATATACATATATACATATAAATATATATATGTTTGTTAAATCGATATGGATCGACACAACCAAAGAAATGTATAGAAGTAGTAGATAGCCCATCCGATGGCAGGAAATCAACCAACTATATTATCCACTGCAAATAGCCCTATATTCGTGCAATTCCACTCTCTTCACACGACATTAATTCTTTTTACATACAAAAAAAATTCAATTCAGTCCAACCCATCGATCAAATATATATATAAAGATCATTAGACCTGATACATCTATAAATATATACATACATATTTATTTCAATTCTGTCGATCAATATATATATATACAAAGAGTATTAGACTTGATACATCTATATATATATATATATATATATATATATATATATATCAAGTCTGATATTCTTTATCGGGAATATGACAATACCTGAAACACAGTTTGGACACCACGCGTGGTCGTGGTCGTGGCCGTCCGGCCTTTGGTCTTGGCCTGCAATTGCTTTTTGATGTTATTTTGCACCTTGAGGCACATATCCAACAGCGTAAACCAGAGCTTTTCGCTCTGATCATCATGGTGCCGTGCCGAGTGGCGCTCGCACATGGCGATGGCCACGTCCAGCGTCGACTTGACTTCTTGACCCTCCGCGAGGCTTTGCAGGATGCTGCTCTCGTACTGCATGGTCGAAACGCTCAGCTCTGGATTCAGGTTAAACCCACGCAGTGCCGGCCGAAGTAGCCCGATTTTCTTTTCCAAACTCGTTAAAATCAGACTCAGCGCGCCTGTGACATCGCCCGTGCGTTCCAGCAAGTACGCCTCAGCGTCGGTAATGTTGTATTCCTACCACAGCATCATATCAACACGGGAATATGTTGTATATTCAAAGTGAACTGTATATAGATATTTACAAAGCGGCCTCTATCGATAGACAATTGCATATATATTCATTCGGAAATAAATGTACACTATATATATAGTGTATAAGGGTGGTTAAATAAATATAAATTGACGTATGATTGCGAAGATAGTACTTGTACTACACAACATGTACAGTTGACATCGAGTTGTTGAAATTGTATATATACACGTACGATCGGGAAGATAATACTTTACAATATTGTGAAAGTCGCTATAAACTTGCAAAATTCGCGTGGTTTGTCGATTCAATATATTGAATCACGCCAGAGTTCTGATTGGTTGAATATACTCAAAAATGGATTAGCCAATAGCGTGTGATTCGTGATTCGATTCGGCGGGGTCGTCTGGAAATTTGTATCGAATATACCACAGTATGTAGAGCAAACTCAAAAAACACAGGTATATATATATATATAAATATCATACGGCATGGTATATTTATTATATATCATCAACCCATGACGGGTATACAAAACCAGACTATATTTCTAAACATACGAGAGCGTATACACATCCCAGGACATTTGAGAGAGTATATATATATATATATATCCTAGGGCATTTGAGAGAGTGTGGACGTACTTTGCACAATTTCAAGCACGAGTCCACGCGGTACGCTTGATGGGCGGCCAAGTACGGAAACACTTGAAGGGGGTTGAATTCACACAATAGTCGGATGTATCGTTCTTGGACGGCGGCGTCGTCGGCCATCTACACATCAAATATAAGGAAAAACAATATATGGGCAACTAACTATTCACGATCCTTTCTACTTGCTACAAGCAATACTATATATACATATAAATATATATATGTTTGTTAAATCGATATGGATCGACACAACCAAAGAAATGTATAGAAGTAGTAGATAGCCCATCCGATGGCAGGAAATCAACCAACTATATTATCCACTGCAAATAGCCCTATATTCGTGCAATTCCACTCTCTTCACACGACATTAATTCTTTTTACATACAAAAAAAAATTCAATTCAGTCCAACCCATCGATCATATATATATATATATAAAGATTATTAGACCTGATACATCTATAAATATATACATACATATTTATTTCAATTCTGTCGATCAATATATATATATATATATAAAGATCATTAGACCTGATACATCTATAAATATATACATACATATTTATTTCAATTCTGTCGATCAATATATATATATACAAAGAGTATTAGACTTGATACATCTATATATATATATATATATATATATATATATATCATATACGTACGATGCATGCCCTCACGGAGCACAGACTTGAGCAGAGTGGGTTGATCGTACGAGTCTTTCGACAGCTTTTGCAGCAGCCGCACCAGCATGGCTTGGCGGCCGGCCTTGTCAAAGCCATCCTCTTCAAACGACGACACCCCCACCGGCCCAAGTGCCTGCGGCCCCGTGGCCAGAAACGTCAGCAGCGAATTCATCATGTACTGGGTGCTCGAAGCGCTGCGGGCCGTCGCGTACGCTTGGGCGTCGATGGCGCCTCCTGCAATCATGTAGAATTAAGTAGTCATAGTTAGGGATACCGAATCGTAGTATTGAGTGATTAGTGATACAAGATATGAAATAGGGATGGATGGTCTACGGGACACACAACAACGACACTCAAGCACGGAAACAACACAAACCAACAATGCAAGGTTCCTGCAACCATGTAGTAGTAGTACTAGTAGTAGATAGGGATGCCATATCGTAGTACTAGTACTAGTAGTAGGTACCCTCCAAGGTTCCTCCTGCAACCATGTAGTAGTACTAGTAGTAGGTACGTTTATTTATAGCCAAGACGATATACATACGCATTGTAATAAAAAAGGAGAACCAAAATTAGGCCGCAACAACAATTACAGTTTTATATATTGTGCTTTCGAGTGAAATTTCATTGTGTTGTGGTTTCTCGTTGGAATTTAAATCGATTTGATTGGCTACCTCAGATGAGCTCAAACTTATTAGCCAATCAAAACCTTCTCAATGAAATTCAACAACCAATCAGATCGATTGTGGATCGGTTTGGTCGGCGCGATTCGATTGCCCACCCCCTCCCCAAATTTGTATATCAAATCGACAATAGAAAAGTGTTTTTTTTTTAACTGGGCCAAATAAAGTTGAATGTTCGACACAAGCAAATGGACGACACCCACGAGCATTATAATGTATGTACGACACCACGAATTAGTGTGAAGGTCCAAAAATAGTGTGATCACGGTAAAATCACACCAAGACTATCAAAACGTAAAACTTATAGTTGGATACAAAGTACGAACCACTGAACAACCGCGCTTCAAACATGTAAAAGTGGCCTTGGTCGGCACTCGAAAAGAACCGAGTGGTGGGAGACGGACTGGGACCAGCAGAGGCGTTGGGGTCGCCCACGAGCACTTCGGCCAGACTTAGCACCATTTGCAGCCGCGGCGGGCACTGCAACGGCGTCGTCGCATACCTATTCATCGTATATATATATAAATATTATCCATCAGTCCCGATATATATATATATATAGAATTGTATCCTCTTTGCCAATGAATGGAAATGGTGTATCATGTCATAGCTAGCGTTCCCATGTGGAGCTCAAACTGAACCAATGAGATTTCCATGCAAACCAGTATTGGATAGCAGGTATTCTGAATCACATATATCATGCAAAATTACACATATCGATTCGTACCAACGTCGCCTGAATCACCAAAACACGTTTGGAAATAACGGTAAAATAGATCAACAATCGATTGATGGCGTTGACGACTCCGCACACAATTATGTTGGCTAAAAGGGCTAGGTATATATATATATAATATATATATAATTCGGTACAAATTTCCCAGATCCTGTCGTGTTATCGTTTCGCTAGTTCGCTAGTCCAATCTTTTTAAGCCGATTGGATTGGCTCTTACAGAAAACACAAGTAATAAATTCAGCCAATGAGACCTACCAGCGTGATTCCACATTGAACAACACATCGCAAATGTTGCAGCGTGTATACACCGAATCCATGATATATATATATATACCTGCTCAGCGAATTCACAATATATATATATCCCAATCCATGAAACAACTCCCAATGTATACAAACCCAACCTGGACGTGTTGGTCGAGACCGTTTCGCCTTCAAACTCGACGTTAGGCGCGTCAAAGAGGCGGGCAATCATATCCAGAAATACTTTGGCGTCTAGCTGGAGCAGCGGAATCAACCGCGGGTACGGAGTCGTCTTGTCGTCGTTCGGATACTTTTCAAACAAAAACTGCGACAGCGTCGCGACCATGGTCTGCATGCGCTTGACCGACACGGGCCGCCGATTCGGAAACGAACGCCCGTCAAAGCAGTAGCTCAAGTACAAAAGCAGCTTGTACGCCCATTTGCGCTTGGCGCGGCCGCCTTCTTGGTCGTCGTCCGCCCCGCCGCTCGATGCCGCCAACAGCACCTCCACTGGCGTCGTAAAATCTGACCGCGCTTCGTTGTACATGTAAATGAGCGCCGTGTACAAGCGATGCGTGTGGCATACGGACACGACCCCGTCAAAGTCGAGCTCGTTCACGTGCATGTGCAGCAGCGCTTTTTCCACCTATGAGAAATATATATATAATATATATGGTCAAAAATCGATGATTCGAAAAAACTGGAGCCGCCGTCAAGCATCGAATGTGTGAAGAGAATATAAGGATTCAAGAACCGCCAAAGCCAATATATCATCAAATCATGTTCGACTAAATATCTGCCAATCCAAATGATATTGATTATTCCCTCTGCACGGGGCAAAACCAAATATATATACTACTACTATTCTTTGTATAGTTTGTACAAGATGAAGTAGGATCAAAGGGTTGGAATGCTATTTGGCGAATTGACTCCAAATTTGGGTGAAATGCACAATATCAGCAGCATTTTTATATATGGCACACCAAGGGTCTTGATTCAAACTAGACGAGTTCCAGTCTTTTTGATGTTATATCTCCTAGGTATATATACAACCGTGCTGATAATACAGGTAGGTATACAACTTTATAAAATTGCTGGATATATACTGTCGATTTGATACAAATATATGGGGAGGGGGTGCAATCGAATCGCGCCGACCAAACCGATCCACAATCGATCTCATTGGTTGTTGAATTTCATTGAGAAGGTTTTGATTGGCTAATAAGTTTGAGCTCATCTGAGGTAGCCAATCAAATCGATTTAAATTCCAACGAGAAACCACAACACAACGAAATTTCACTCGAAAGCACAATAAAGTCGGACCAAACAAATACACGTATGACAAGAGAATAAACCCAGAGATCTCAAACCTTGTGGGACATACTGTGGAATTAA